GCCATCTGAAAAGGAGAGGGTATGACTATTATCTTAAACGTGCCAGCCTCCAATAATACAATAGTCATCACTAATGGGTTAGATTTTTGAATATATGTATGAAAACTGCATTTGTTTGCCTAATTTTTTTCATTATGTTGCATAGGATTAACTTCGTTTCATCTTAAAACTGTCTATTGGAATCACTTGGATTTGGAGTCAAATAAATTTTTACTTTGAGGTAAACCAAACAAAATCACATAATAATATTAAAAATATTTATTGGCTGCCTCATTTTGGAGTGGCACCTACAATAAATGACATCATCAGCAATAATACTGCTTGGAATAGTCATGATATAGTTCATATTTTAGTCATACTAGATTCTGTTGTAGTATGTTTGATTCCAGGCTATCTTTAACCCTTTTGTTACCCATTTACAACAGCTTAGCCATCCGGCGACCGAGTCAATTTAGCTCTTTTAGAGATTCCAACTGATTGTAAGTTCCTATGTGTAATAACAGACTAAATATCCAGACTTACGAAACATTACAAAGGAGTTACATTAATAAGCAAATATAGATTTCATAGACATTAGGGCTGGAAGGGACCTCGGAAGATCATCAAGTCCAGCCCCCCACCCGAAGGCAGGAAGTCCGCTGGGGTCATAGGATCCCAGCAAGATAAACATCCAGATTTCTCCTGAAGGCATCCAAAGTAGGTGCTTGAACCACCTCCAATGGCAGGCTATTCCAGGCCTTGGGGGCTCAGACAGTAAATAAGTTCTTCCTTATGTCCAACCTGAAACGGTCTTGTAGGAGTTTATAACCGTTTGACCTTGCCATCCCTTGGGGTGCTCTGGTGAACAAACGTTCCCCCAGATCCTGGTGAATACCCCTTATAGACTTATAGGTGTGTGGAGCCTGCGTCCCACTCTGCCTGGTCTATCGGGGTGTTGCCCCTCCCCTCAACTCGCCTGCCACGACTTGGATGTAAATATATACTTTAAGAGGGGTCTACAGTGGAGATCTTTATCCTGGGTGGGGCCTCCCAATAGACGGTGTTACTCACGGTCATCTGACGCGGTGGGGCTCCGCCTCCCCTACAACCCGCCCACGCGCCAAACACTGGGTGATGCGTCCCAGATGTTTCCAGGCCTCGTCTGACGGCCTCAGACCAGTTTCCCAGTTCCCGGTCGTTCTACCTCCCTTCTGGGAGCGATTTCTCTTTTCTCTTCTTTTATAGGAAATACTCCTCCGCGTTAGGGGGAGCTGGAGGGTGCTTCCCCTGATTCCAGCTCCCTCTTGGAGCCCCCGCTGTCTCCCCTCTCCTCCCAACAGCAGGGCGCTCCCCTGCCTCCTGAGCGTCAGCTGCTCCAGGAGACTGAGTGCCTCAGCTTGCACTCTCTGTCTGCCTGCTGCTCTGCCTCCTGTAGAAGGCTTACAGCTCTTAGCTAAGCTGCCTGCTTGGGACCCGCAGGCTGGGTCCTCTCCTTGCTGTGCTTGAGCTCGCAGCAGGAGCAACCCGCTCGTACTCTCTCTCTCCAGCTTCCCCTGATTTCCTGTTCTGCTGGCATTTTTAAACTTTCCCGCAGCTGCTACGGCCGCTGGGATAGGCTCAGCTGTTCCCCGCCCCGGGCACCGCTGG